ATTCGTTTATCGTTGTTACCTTGATAACACCCCCTCTAGTTACATGTTATAGGTCAGTAACAATTACATTCAAAATTCAATAATTTCATTAGAAATTTGATAGTGAAATAATGAATTATATGATGGCTTTTTGGTCAGACTATTATGGCGAGACTATAATTTATGGACGACCTTTGAGAAGCCTTAAAGTAACCTTGAAAGTGTCCACCTAATAACTAGGACCAAATGAGGGTTACGAACCAGTGTAAGGAATGAGAATTATGATTTGCAGTTGATGGTTAAGATTAGGAATTAGATTTAGGGTTTTCATCACGAAATGACATCAGCTATAATGTCAAAACTCTATTTTAGCCAAATGGATGAGTGAATTCTGCGCCAAAATCTGAGTCCTGTTATCTTATGCCTAAATTATAGTCTCGCCGAGATTATGAATTGAATTGGCAATTATCAATGAATAATTATTCGGCTTAGATAATGAGCATGAAGGATCCGATGTAGACGAGAAGGCAAGGATTGACAAAGTAAGGCCCGCATTCTCACAGTTGAAGAACATGTGAAACTCATAACAACTGTTGAATAATATCAAATTCAAAATCTTCAATACAAATGTCAAGACAGTTCTACTTTATGGAGCTGAAACGTGAAGAACTACCACAAACATCATCAAAAGGTACAAGTATTTATAAACAATTGTCTACGTAAGATACTCAAAATCCGTTGTTCGGGTGCCATCAGCAACAGCCTACTCTATGAGAGGACAATCCAGCTTCAAGCCGAAGTGGAAGCTAGGAAGAGATGTTGGAAGTGGATAGGACATACATAACGGAAGTCACCAAACTACATTACGAGGCAAGCGCTAACTTGGGATCCTGAGGAGAAACGAAAAAGCGGAATTAAAAAGAACACATTAAGTCAGAAATCGGGAACAGATATGAAATGAATGAATAGCAACCGGACTGAAGCGGAAAGGACTGTTCAAAACAGAAATGGATGGAGAGTGCTGATGAGAGGCCTATGCCCCTCCACGAGGGGTAACAGGTATAAGTAAGTAAACATGATAATTATCATAAGAAATTTAATTAAATTTTCATCATCTTTACTGGTGTAAACTGTTCTTCTTAACAAAATTGTAGATTTTTTTGACAAATTAGTTCGATTGAGGATATGTAGGGTATGTTTATCACCTATTGGTCTCAGTGAGGGTGCTAATGTAAACCAAAGTGCTTTGGATAGCTGGTTCTTTTTAGTATAGTACTATTCAAAAGTGTACAACCACCAGTCCACGATGGATTGAATGTGGGACCTTCATGTCTGAAGATCTGGATTTCATGATATAAGAAATCAGCTAATCGAGAGTTATAGATATTGTATAATGAAAAGGATGAGTGATGAATACAAATAATTCAGTGTAGGATTTAAGTTTAGCCCATTCACGTATAATTATTCATCAAGCACAAAAACTACATTTCTCCATGAAGTATGTGTTGATGTTGTTCAGAACAATGAAAGCTTTACAGCCGATTCACCAGATCATAGATTATGATCAGTTCAACATACTCATTCTGAACTACATATATTAGCCACCACTTTCTTTGAGTTTGATTGCAGCGAAGAATTACAAACCCACAACTCAGTAAGTAAATGTTTATTGAATAAATCAATCACCTATATTTCAAGCTAATCCTATGTTAATTCTTCAAGATCTCTCCACCCGTTTCTTTTGTATACATTTTTATACTACTTACTAATACTCAGTAACTAATGCACTATTAGCACCTAGAGTGAAATGTTCATCCGTTGTAGTGTCTGACATTTCTAGATACTTACATGAATCTTTAGCATATAATCCATTCGTAATCTCTTAACTGTTGCTCTTTACTTCCTGTACGTGCATTGAACACTTGCCTAGTTGTAACAATCTCCATAATTCGTATGCATAGTTTCCATTTTCATTTATAGTATAACACTGTTAACTTACTTACGCCTGTTACCCCTCGTCGAGGAGCATAGGCCGCTCACCAGCATTCTCCATCCAACTCTGTCCTGAGCCTTCCTTTCCAGTTGTTATTCATTCCAAGTTAGAGATTGCCTTGTGATGCACATCGGTGATTTCCTTAATGTAGGTCCTATCCACTTCCAACGTCTTTTCCTAATTTCCTCTTCAGCTGGAAGCTGATTTGTCCTCTCCCATAAAACGCTGTTGCTGATAGTATCCGGCCAATGGATGTTGGGTATTTTGCATAGACAACTGTTGATAAATACTTGTACCTTCTTGACGATGGATGTATTAGTTCTCCACGTTTCAGCTCTGTACAGTAGAACTGTCTTGACGTTCGTATTGAAGATTCTCACTTTGAAATTAGTTGACAGTTGTTTTGAGTTCCATATGTTCTTCAATTGTAGAAATGCTGTCCTTGCTTTGCCAATCCTCGCCTTTACATCTGTATTCCATTCTCCTTGTTTATCAACGATGATTCCCAGGTACGTAAATGTCTCCACCTCTTCCAGAGTTTCGCCATCAAGTGTGATTGGGTTGGTGTTCTCCGTGTTGTATTTGAGAATCTTGCTTTTTCCTTTGTGAATGTGGAGGCCTATCGATGCAGAGGCTGCTGCTACATTCGCTGTCTTTATCTTTATTTGTTCGTGTGTATGAGAGGAGAGGGCTAGGTCATCTGCGAAGTCCAAATCATCTAATTGATTCTGAGAAGTCCATTGTATTCCGTATTTCCTCTCAGATGTCGAATTCTTCATAATCCAGTCAATCACCAGAAGGAAGAGGAATGGGGAAAGCAGACAGCTTTGTCTGACTCCGGTCCTTACTGGAAATGCATCTGTCAGCTGTCCTATAACACTGTTAAGATGACACAGATATTAGATTTCATATTCACGGACATTACGAAGACTAAATACACTGTTGTAACTGCTAATTAGACATGGTAGTTGGGGTCGAATATCGTGATATCACAATCGAGCTAAATTGACTGGAATACTTGCTCTTTTTAGGTTTTACTATTCTACGTATGTTGGTTGGTGAACGATAGGACTAATATAAGTAATTTAGGGTCCTGGGACAAAGCTTTACTGTTGACTGTACTGCAATGCTTCCCCTATAAAATCGGCACTAAGAGGGATATTACCACCATGCAACAGTAAATGGTTTGAAGAAAGTTGACCCTAAAGTTGCACATCTTATCTTAACCTATGGGTTTTCATCGACATCAGTAAGACCTTTTAAGTACGGGGTTAAGACATCTAAAAATACATATAAAATATTTCCGTGTGACTAGCGTCAAGCAGAGACTGCTTGCAGTCATGCCCTAAGGTCTCCAAGAACACTTATTACCCAATTTCTTTTTCAGCCACTTCGAGAAGTACCCTTTATTGATGTGGGTCACAAACCTTACGATTCCAACAGTATTGGTTAGCAAGTATACAAGTATACATGTAAGCAAAGTAAAATGCAAAACCTAATACCTTATCTAGTATATATATATAATGCTAAGACTGTTTTTCAATCTACGTGGTTAAAAGTAGGACGTTGGCCACCAGTGTCAAAACATTCATCATATTTTACATACGGAATTAAATCCTTCTAATCCATGCATAGTTTTCTTGGTTTCTCTTCAATTAGATATGAAACTGGAAAAATATCTTACGGTAATATTTGATCTCGTAAGGAAAGCATACCCTACAACGACTGAAAACTGATAATAAATGTCATGTTTGTGCAAATACGTAGCAAACATTTGGATGTAAGAAATAGCAGTATTATAGGAAGTAAACTGCGATCAGAATAGCTTGGTAACAACCTCTCTGTGACTTTGAATGATACGGACCTAAATCTCATACAGAGTATAATTCCTGTGTTACGTTCTGCGGTCATCCAATTTCGATGAATACACTCCCTATGCTCTATCCTAACCTGCTTCATGAGTGACTAAGAAGTTGTAATTAGCAAATGAATGTTGACAAAAATGGTATGAATCCACTATATTTTGAAGACTTCTTCAACTGCTTAAAGCCTGATAATGATAGTACTACTTATTTCCAAAAAAAACGATGCGAAGACTTTATATCGGAAATATCAGTAATAAGATAAACAATATTACATCAAATAATTTACTTAATTAGACATGTGAACATTGGTACAAGGAGGCTCCAAATATACATGCGCTACACAAACCATTCGATTTCTGTGAGGGCTGGGATGCAACCCACGTGCCCAGGTCAAAGCAGGTAGTTTTCTTAGAATGTCATCCCCAGGTCTTTGACCAAGAGGTCACACCCACAAGACAGTGGAGCAACGTTACAAAATACAGTTCCATGATGGTCGGTGACCAACAGTAGGTTCGTACACCTTTTTTTTCGTTAGGATCCTAGAGCTCATGTACACCACTATTTTGAAATCAGGGTTTTCCAACTCTCCCACATGAATCCTGCATATCCAGTTAAAGCGCTGAACATTCGTTTTATGTGCTCTAAATTTCGTAAACAACACCCCTGCCACGAGAAGGCAGAGTAGGAATCTCCTGTCAGCGGTTGTATACGCGTAGCCACGTGAGAGCATTCAGAGAACAAACTGACTCTCCCCATCCTTATACAACAGATGCGATGATCAGCAGAAGGTTAAGCACCATTTCTTAACCCTTATAAACATCGAGTGAGTTATATCGACTAATTTGACAACTGCACTAACGATAATTTATTGTTTACAACTAGTACAGATAAGATGTTGAAAATTCGGAATAAACTATTATGTAATACAATAACGCAAAATAAGGTTAGTGTTTTCCACAGGCATAACATACTTCTTTCAGCAGCATTTGCTTAAGCAAAGAGTTCATTACTAAAGAGCACCACAACAAATTCCAATTAATCAGTAAAAAAAACATATTTCAACACATTAAAATCTCACTTTAAAGATATGACACTGTTCAAAAACTACTAGTAAATATATACAAAGTAAATTTTTATGGAAACAAATAACAAAGTAAGTAATGTCATTGTTGTGCTAGCCCTCGTTTACTTTCGCCCTTCTTCCGTTTCCCTTTGCCACGTAATTGACGTAGACGTGCCATTTCTTCACGAAAATCTGCGTGCTCATTCCTAAACAAGCCTAAATAGCGTAGTTTTTGTAAAACATTATTATATTCTTCTAATGGAGGATAATAATCTTTTAAGATCATTGGGCGAGGTAATTCACTCATTATTCGAACAACTTTCATGGACTTACTATCGACTTGTTTACCAACATCCCTGAATATTCGTCCAGCAAGCATTGTCATCTTTTTGGCATACAACGAAGTCATCTAAAAACAATTGAAATCAAACACAAATGAGTAAAGATAGTGATGGTCACAGTGTAAACTTAGAACTCCGGCACAACTTTTCATCATCATTTGCTACAACTTAAACGTCATGAAACCGGAATTTAGGGTGATTAGAGTGATGTTATTCAGCCTCCACAACTGCACATTACGATCATCGTGTAGATATAAACTTGGGAGTCTAGACTAACTGGCACGGTTAAATTCAAAAGTTAGTGACTTGACAGATTGATTTTACTTGATGTTTTGATGTGTGTTGTATTTCTAGCAAATTAACACCGAATCCGCCGAGATTGAACAAAACAAAAATGAAGTTAGATACTGATTCCAAAGAAATCAGAAATGTTCGAATATTCCAACTACTATGTTAGCGACACTACTATGTAAAACATGCTTGGAGTGAATATTTGTAGCAAACATTACTTGTCATTTGCAGGCAGAATGATAGTTTCCCGGAGCTTACTCAATAAGCTACCGGAACTAGGTGTACAGATTGACTCAACTAGGCCAGACATAATCGCAGTCACAGAAACATGGCTGACGCCGTCTATAGATAGTAGGGAACGTGATTTCGAGGGTTTTACTTTAGTAAGGGCCGATAGAATACAAACACGTAAAGGAGGGGGAGTAGCTCTATTTATTAGGAATGCTATTCCATTCACCATTATCGACAGTGTATCCCATGAGAGTGGGATGTATGAATTAGTTTGCTGCCGCCTGAAATGCAGGGGACAAGAGTTGCTGCTTAGTTTGATCTATCGCAGTCCAAGCTGTGAGGTAAACGAGGTCCTGCTAAGCAGTCTCAACACTTTATCACGAAGTGATCGATGTCTAATCCTAGGGGACTTTAATGCACCCATGGTGGACTGGGGAAACCTGCGGACTGAATCGTCAGCAAATTCCTTCGAACAGGAACTAGTTGATGCGGTAATCACATGTGCCCTAGTGTAACACGTGAAGGAAGCAACTAGGTACGACCCGGGTTCTGCATCATCCTTACTAGATCTTATATTGACTCATTATGAGGATGACGTTGCAAACCTGGATTACATGCCACCCCTAGGCAAAAGTGATCATGCAGTTTTAAGCTTTGACTTCCATATAACTGTCGATTACGAGCACGTCTCAGCTCAATCCAGACCTAACGTCTAGAAAGCAAACATACCAGACATCATGAAATCAGCATCATCAGTAGATTGGAAAATAGACCCAGAGTCATCAATCGAAACGGCTTGGGACATATTCCGGAATTCATACTTAAAAGTTACCACCCCCCCACATCCCTTGGACTACACCTAAGAGACCGAGAAACTCCCCACTGTGGTTCAGTAGGGAGGTTCGCATCCTTCTCCGTAAAAGAAGGAAAATGTGGGACAGATTTAGGTTACTGGGGACTGACGAGGCAAAATCTCAGTATCAAAAGGCTCGAAATACCTGTGCCTCGACCCTCCGTAAGGCCAGAAAGCTGTACGAAGAGAAAATCGTTAGGGAATCCATAGAATGCCCTAAACGCTTGTATTCGTATATAAACCAAAGGACAAAAAGAAGAAGAAATGTTCCTTCACTATGAGGAGACAGTACTGCCTCATCACTAGTGGAGGACGACTTTGGCAAAGCTCAAGTATTCTCTAAATACTTTAGCGATGTATACACCATAGAAACACCCTTCTCACCAGTCCATGAAAACCCCCACACACAAGCACTGGACAGCGTGACCACTAAAGAACTCGATGTCTTTGGTCTGCTAGTTAAGCTTGACATAGGTAAATCCACTGGACCCGATGAACTGCATCCTAGGTTATTGAAGGAATTAGCTAACTTTGTTGCGAACCCTTTAAGTGTATGTTTTAATCTATCCGTAACCCAGGGTCGTCTACCAAAAGACTGGAAGAACGCCATAGTAAGTCCAGTCTTCAAAACAGGTACAAAACATAAGCCTGAGAATTACCGACCAATTAGCCTAACTAGTGTGGTTGTTAAAATCTTAGAAAAGATTATTCGGAAGGAGCTGTTAAAGCATCTCGATGAAAACCGGATCCTCTCCGAAAAGCAGCATGGCTTTAGAACAGGTTACTCTTGTCTCACAAACTTATTAGTCGCTCGTGAAAGCTGGTGCGCTCTTAAGGACCAAAAGTTACCTATAGACGTAGCTTACATCGATTTCAGCAAAGCTTTCGACAAAGTTCCGCATAACCGGCTGTTATATAAGCTAAGGAATGTCGGGATTGGAGGCAATCTATTGATGTGGATAAAAGACTTCCTAGTTGGGCGTCAACAAAGAGTACGGGTGAACTCCAAGTTGTCTAGCTGGGAAACTGTGCTTCGTGGAGCCCCCCAGGGTACAGTTCTGGGGCCAGTGTTATTCCTCCTGTACGTTAATGACCTCCCTCGTCTACTATAGTCATCGGTCTTACTCTATGCTGACGATGTCAAGATATGGAGAGCGATACAAAGCAAGGGCGATAGCTTAGAACTTCAAAATGACTTGGAGAGATTATCTGAATGGTCCCAAACCTGGCAATTACCGATAAACACTTCCAAGTGTATTGTGATGCATATTGGCCACCAGGGTACAGATACATACACGATGAATAACACTGAGTTACCTATTGTCCAGGCACACAATGACTTAGGTGTCATCGTTAGTCAAGACTTAAAGACTACTGCACACTGCGGTGCAATAGCCGCCAAAGGTTTTAGGACTTTATGGTTCATACGCAGGGCTTTTAGGCATCTCGACGCTAAAACGTTTCTGACTTTGTATACGGTGTTCGTACGCCCTAAACTTGAGTACTGCATACAAGCAGCTAGCCCCTGCCTAAAAAAAGACAGTGAACTCTTGGAAAGGGTTCAGAGAACAGCAACTAGGCTGATTCCCGGAATAGCGAAGCTCCCGTATGGTACTAGACTAACCAAGCTAAACCTATTCCCGCTGTCATATAGAAGAATCCGAGGCGACTTGATTACAGTTTTCAAATTGCTTAATGACAAATTTGCACCTGATATGCCCTCATTTTTCTTGTCTTCCAAAACAGAAAATCTACGAGGACACTCCAAAAAAGTTCAAAAGCCCAGAACGAATTACTTGTCAGCTGACTACCGACTTTCCCATCGAATAATCAACGAGTGGAATTCATTACCTCAGCACGTGGTTGAGGCTCCATCCGTCGACTCCTTCAAAAGAAAGTTGGATCAGCTGAGAGACCATCATTGCCAGGACTAACACAAGCCATCAAGCCTCCTGTCCTTTCCAAACTGAAACTGAAATCTCACAAGTCACTAAATAAACTATGTTGTATCAAGAGATTTCAACACTACGACACAAGTCAAAAGAACTGTTGACGAAAAACACTTTGGATGTATTCCCTATTCATTCTAAGGTATTTAATTCCTAACCACAGTTCTGTAATCACTCTTGCCACCCATTAAACCTATTAACACAGTTAAGAAATAATGTAGAAACTTCAGAAACATGAGACCACACAAATGTTAGTAAAAAGGTATGTAGAGTATAGGACTTTCCAAAATCTAACTCTATTTTCAATGGTTTTCGTTTCACAAGCCTTCACTTTTTTGTTATTGTCTTGGTAAACGTAAATGATTCAAATGGATTTGGAAAAAAAAGAATAAGCTTTCGCTTAACGGGCTTCCGTGTCTAGTAGCAGCGGATCACCGATACCTCCAGGCAGGAACATATGCATAATAACGGTAAAAGAGGAGAAAGAAGTCGATAAGTCATATTAGGATACTATCCTTAGTCCTTAAGAATATGTCAAGTTTTCTCTTAAAGGACTCCTGTGAAGTCACTAGGACTATCTCAGCCGATAGCGAATTCCAGCATTTGACTACTCTTAAGTAGTTCTGCTGTGTTTTGTTTCCAGTTTCTGAGTGTTACCCCTTAGATTTGTGTTGAAGCTAAACCTAAGTGAGTGTTTAAGGAGATGTTCAGGAGCGTTAAGGATACTGTAAGCTATTAGGCCACCTCTAAGACACCTGTATTCTAAGGGGTAAAGGTTTAGTGATTGGAGGCGCTCATCATAAGGCTTGAATTTGAGTCCCCGAACTGATTCCACAGCTCGCCGTTGGATACGTTCCACAATTTTCTTATCCTTTTGAGGTGAGGGAGGAAATACTGTTTCCGTACTTTAAATGGGGACGAATTAAAATGTTGAAGATTATGTAGAAAGTTCTTCCATCAGACTTGCCAAAAATGCACTTCAATGTTACCAGTGAAAGGTTTGGTCGAAAGGCATTCTTGTCAAAGTTAGCGTAAGACATCAAATCGTAGGGTACCAACACTCATAAATCTTTTTCAACAAGGGATACTTCTAGAGATGAGTTGCCTAAGTTGTAACTGTAGTCTGCAACATGTTTCAGATGGACTACTTTACACTTTGAAGTGTTAAACGCAAATCCGTTTTCATCTGCTCAACTTTGAAGTCAAGTCAGATCTCTTTGAAGTGCCACTATATTCTCTTGGTTGCGCATCTCCCCAGATTCAAATCATTAGCATAAAAGTAATGTCAGACGATACCTGTTGTGGAAGATCGTTTATATAAATCAAGAAAAGAAGAGGTCCTAATACTGAGACGTGGGATTCCTACTCATTCGCAAAATCACGGGGACTATAAGTTTAATTTACATATATAAGTAACAAGTCAAAAACAAACTCTCCAAGTGACCCTGAAAGTCATACACCCCAGAACAAGGAGTTCAACATACAAGAACCAGTAAATTCAAATGGTTCAAATGGTTGAGGGCGGAATAGAAGAAGCTTTCACTTAACGGGCTTCTGTGTCTAGAAGCAGTGGATCATCAATACCCCCAGACAAAAACCCAGGTATATGAACGATAATAGAGGGAAAAAAAGATTTTGGTTGTAGGGTCAGTGAAATATCACTGAACCCTGGCCAAACCACTCGGCAGTTGGGTCACTGAATATCGAACAGATCGTCGATCCTTGTCAAGGTCAAAGACGGTCAACGCGCATCAATAAAATCATACGCTATGGACTGGCCCATGCGGCAGTGGTTGTACTTTCGCTTCTGTATTTTCGTGGTTGTACCTTAACTAATATATTCTTGTAATAACGTCCTTTGTGCTGTACAGTCTCCATAGCATCCATGGCCCCTTGTTACGTCGATGGGGGCAATCCGCGTAAGGTGCTGGTCGCGAGGTGTGACTTCAGCGTTAGTTGGTTCGTCACCATTCTCGTCTAACTCTAGTAGGCCCCCAATCATTTCGAATTAGATCATCAACGTGATGTTCTACACTGGTGAGCCCGACGTGACTCTCGCGGTGAGTACTTGTCTGAAGATGAACTTAAAGAGAAGGTAAGGGGTTTGTGATCGATAAAAAGCGTGAATTCTCTTCCTTCGATGGAATGTTGGAAATGCCGTACAGCACAATACATAGCTAGGAGTTCCCTACCGAACGTGCTGTACCTAGATTCCGTGTCTAGCAACCGTCTCGAGAAAAATCCTAAAGGTTGCCATCGATAGTGTGTCCTAAGAAGTTTAAGGAGTTGGTTCCTATTTGGCATTTCTGAATGTTTACAGTAATGCCATGCCTTTGGAGTCGATCGAAAACAATGTCCAGATGCTTGAGATGTGATTCTCTGTCCGGACTTGCTATTAGACAGTCATCAACATACGCATGTACAAAGTTGAGACCTCGGAAGACGTCGTCTATAAACCTTTGGAAGGTTTGAGCTGCATTTCTTAAACGAAAAGGCATTCGCAGGAATTCGTAAAGACCGAAAGGAGTGATGATGGAGGTTTTAGGAATATCGTCGGTTGCCATCGGTACTTGATTATAAGCCTTAACTAAGTCGATTTTCGAAGAGACAGTTGCACCTTTCAAGGTAGCCGTCAAATCGTGAATATGAGGCAGCGGGTAACGATCGGGAATGGTTTTAGCATTCAGACTTTTTGATAATCACCAGTTGGCCGCCAATCGTTGCTGTCCTTTTTAGGGGCCATGTGCAATGGGGATGACCATGGACTATCTGATGGTCGAATTATCACTATGTCTATTATATGGTCGAATTCCTTTTTTGCCAACCTAAGGTTTTCGGGAGCGAGTCGGCGGGCTTTCGAGAATACAGGTGGTCCTGTAGTCGAGATGTAATGTGTAACATTGCTGGTTACACAAGGCAATTTCGATTGCGGTTGGTATATCCCGGAGTATTTGTCGAGTAATGATTGGTACAAGCGGTCTATGGTGTGCTTAATCGTGACTGGGGATAACCTGCAACCAAAACAAGGAGTTACGCAAACAGATAACTTAGTGTTTCCGTCTATTAACATTCGTGAGCGTGTGTCGATGAGTAGAGTGTGGTATTGTAACAGATCGATACCAATGATTGGCATAGAGACATCTGCAACAACGAAAATCCAGTGTATGGGTTTGCGTAAACCCACGTTAAGGTAGACGTACCTTTTACCGTAAGTAGCGATCGGCTTTCCGTTTGCCGCCTGTAAACTTAAAACAGACTCGCGAAGTCTGTCGTTGGAATTCGCTGGAAGAATGCTAATTTCTGCTCCGTTGTCGACGAGGTAGTGAACTTTCGTAATCATATCCGTGACATATAAGAGGCGGCTGTGTTCGCCGGCTACGGTTGCCGTTAACGCGTGCCGGCTGGGAAGTTTCCCGAAATCTTATTCGTGTCAGTCGATTTTGAAGTCGAATAATTGCAAGGTTTCCTGCAATTTCTGGAAGACTTACCGTACTGGTTATGATACCAGCACCAGTCGGGATTATCTGTCTCTCGTGGTCGAGAGACAGATCACCTACGTGAGACACTTATACGCGGGGTTTTTGACCGACTACGGTCATTACGAACTCTAAGATATCGTGTAAGTGTGTGACATAGTTCGGCTATGTCAGTCGGGGTCGATTGAGGTTTTTCCTCGACGGAAAAAATCTCGGCCTTAGACGATTTTGTGATTTCTAAGATGCAGTCGACAGATGCAGCCAGCTCGTCTGTGACGTTGTTTTGAACCGAGACCTTTACTGCCTGCACCTGTTGAGGGAGTTTAGACAAGAAACGTTGTCTGAATAGGCCGTCATCGAAAGTTCGTTGGCCGATAACCTCTCTCATTCTTAGCAACATGTCTGTCGCGGAACCATGTTGCAGGTCGATATTGTTAAGGAGTTGGTCTGACCGTTGTCGATCAGTTAGGTCTCCTCGTTTTAAAATCGACCGTTTGAGAGTTTCGTAAGGTTCCGGAACATCACTAGTAAACATACTAGGTGTTACGTACCTGTTAAATTCGCGCGGTAATGCCTTAACTACCGCGAGAAATCGTGTGCGCGAGTCCGTGATTCCGTGCATGCAAAAATCAGCTTCTGCGCAGCAGAACCAGGACTCAATATTGTCGGGCCAAAATGGCGTTAACTGAATCGAAGTAGGGGGAATTGACTTTAACTTAAAAACCTTAGGTGACTGTTCCGTCATAGTAATATAATGAACGAAAAATGTCTTATTAAAATATATCCGGGAAAAACTTGCGAGGAAAAAGTATATCACAATATATAAAATTCAAATAAAGAATAACAATGAATAATAATATTCCAAAAAGGAACGGACTCACAGTTTATTGGCTTGGTGTACCAGATCACGTTAGGCTCACCACTGAAGATACGACGGACATTCTAGTTTTACGACTAGCAACCAGTAGTATCTTCTATATTCGATCGTTCCCGTCTAAAGGAAATCAGAAGTCAGACGAGAAGAGATAGGAAAGATATATTTGATACGTTATCAATATATCGAGGAACCTTTATTATAAGCTGGCTAATGAACGTAGGAGCAGTGTCCCACGCCGAGTTGAAACGTGATCTGGTGCGGATGCACGACCGAAAGCCTTCAGTTAAACAAGTCCACTTAAACAACGTGGTCAGCATCCAATGTCGAACACTTAGAAAGCTATTGATTTTGGGGAATTATTTACAGCTACATGGTAAATCATAATAATATGTTATCCTTAGTCCTTAGGAATAGGTCAAGTTTCCTCTTAAAAGACTATTGGGAGGTCGCTTGGACTAGCTCAGTCGGCAGCGAATTTCAGCACTTGACAACTCTAACGGAGTAGAAGTTTTGTCTTCAGTCTGTTCTGCTATGTAGGGTCTCCAATTTCTGGGTGTTACCTCTTAGGTTAGTGTTGTGACTAAGCTTAAGAAGATGTTTAAGGGGATGACCAGAAGTGTTAAGGATGCTGTAAGTCATAAGAAGGTCACCTCTAAGACGCCTGTACTCTAACGGGTAAAGGTTAAGTGATTGGAGGCGCTCTTCGTAAGGTTTGAATTTGAGTCCCCGAACTGATTTCGTGGCTCGACGTTGTATACGTCCCACAGTGTCCCTATCCTTTTGGAGGGAGGGAGGAAATACTATGTTTCCGTACTCTAAATAGGGACGAATAAAACTGTTGAAGATTATATGGAAGGTTCTACCCTCAAACTGGCCAAAAATGCGCTTCAATGTTACCAGTGCAAGGTTTGCTTGAAAGGCGTTTTTGTCACAGTTCGCATACGATTTCAGGTCATAGGGTACCAACACTCCTAAATCTTTTTCGACTTGGGAAACTTCTAGAGGCGAGTTACCTAAGTTATAACTATAGTCTGCAAGATGTCTCAAATGGACTAGTTTGCACTTTGAAGTGTTGAAGGTTAGTCCGTTGTCGTCTGCCCAACTTTGAAGTCATCGTGATAAACCTGCTTAAACAGGTTGATTTCTTTGCTCTCACCTCTTGATATTAAGATTTGGTTCTTGTTACTGGATCTTTTCCAAAATTGATGGTTTAGAAACTTGGCTACCTTGATCCTAGTGAACATATTAGTTATTTGGGATTCAATGAGTCTTGAGTATAGATGAACGCGTTTGTTCTGTAGATGGTAAGGTTAATAGTGCTATTACCCACCGTATTACTGGATAGGAGATCTTTTGGTTGAGAAACGAGAGATTATAAGGCCAGAATATTAGTTGAACAAGGATGGGGTTGGTCCTCATGGTTTAATGTCGTCCATGTAGGTAAAAAACGGGGAACTGAGGTTTACTGGAAGGCCATTGATGAATAATAAGAGCTGAGGTAGGACCTTATGAATTCCAAGACATAGATAATTCCTAAATTTATTCTACTTTGTTGACTTTAATGAGGAATGTTCGGATGTGAAGCATATTCGTCGTTGGTTTCAAATGTATCAATAGGATTGCAGATGACGTCGGGTCTCGATTGACTATGATCACCACCACAATAAGATTATGTGCCATATATCTACTTGGATCCCTCGATAGACCAAAAACCAGGAGGCTGTTAATGGTCCAGAAAAGATATATCTCAAGTGGGTTTTTGTGGAGATTTAGTAATTTTATAGTTAAGATCATGAGTCAATTGAGGCTAGACCACCATCGAAAACCTAGAGGCACTGGACGGCCGTTTCGTCCTATTATGGGACTCCTCAGCAGTGCGCATCCAAGAACCCGCTCCGCGAGATTGGAACCCAGGACCTACCAGTCTCGAGCCGGAGCCCTTAACCGATAGACCACTGAGCTGGCATCCAACGGTGTTAATGTCTAACCTCAACCAATCCACGAAATTGCGCAACCAACTTCCAATGTACTGAGGTAGATACCTGTCTCTACCTGAGTACATTGGAAGTTGGTTGCGCAATTTCGTGGATTGGTTGAGGTTAG